ACTGGAATATTACAATTATTATTAACTTTGTCTGTACAAAGTAGCCTGTCCAGGAAATATGCCCAAATCAACAAAAACTGCGAGCCGGCACGCAAGACACTCCGCTTCTGAAATGCTTCTGAAACGCGCCCGGTAATGTATTCTGGTATGACGCCGGACCAAAACCGGACGCGACGCAGACGGACCCGGTGGAATCGAGGGGTAGAGTGAACTAACTATGATACAAGCATTTCATTAATTTACATTTACATTTCTCTTTTAAATGGCGTGGTATTCAACGTACCTGTGCGCCTTTTCCTCTCCACCTATATCAGTAGGCGTGATGCGCGTCTCCCACGATATTCATCAGGTTTCTCTGGGGTCAAAATCAACTCTCTCGTTCTTTTCCTCAGTCGCTTGAAAGAGAAACCTCACACTTGAATTGTCATCCTGCGGCATTTTCTTGATGTCACCACGCTCAGGTTTCAATTTCCACAGTCGCTAAAAGCAAAATTATCTTCCAGGATTTTCCGCGCAAGTCTCAAGGAAATTCTGTGCGTCCTAAAGCTGATCTTTCCCAGGGTCATTTAGCGCTTCGACGCATTCTGCGAGTATTTATGTGGAAAACGTCCCCCCGCCTTTTGGATGGGAAAGTCCCACCCATAGGTGGCTGCAATCACCTGACAGCACGAGACTAGTTGTTTGTGTAAAAACACACATTGAACACATTGTTTTCGTTTTTTATTTAGAGGCAGTGGTGGGAATAGAACTTAGATCTTGAGTAAAAGTAGAAGTACCATAGAATAGGAATACTCTGTAACAACAAGTGAAAGTCCTGCCATCAAAATGTTACTCAATTAAAAGTAGAAAAGTATTGGCATCAAAATAAACTTAAAGTACCAAAAGTAAAAGTACTCATTTTGCAGATCGGTCCATTTCAGAATATTATATACTACATGTTTTGATTATAAATATTGCTGCATTAATGAGTTTATTCAAACTGGTAAAGGTAGCTTGTGAATTTACTCCAGGTTTAATTAAGTCTTCTTTACTGTAAGTGTTGATTATATTTCACATTATTAATCCAAATCAGCTAAGTAACTAAAGATAATTAAAAACAAATTACTGAGAGAAAAATGACACAATTTACCTCTGAATTGTAGTGGAGTAGAAGTACAAAGTAACACAAAATTGTACTTGAATAGTTACTTTACACCATTGTTTAGAGGTTCCAGTAAATATAGTCATACTAACTTTTTCCCCTACTGTGAATGAGAGACAGCCAGAGTCATGGAGGTGCAGCCTGGGGAACAGATCACCTTGATGGTGGCCCGGGGCACCTGAGACGGAGGGAGAGATAAATTAGGCTAAAACGGAAAAGTGGTGGAAGGAGGATGAAATTGCACATTGAAGGAGATGTGATGATAATTGTTTGGGAAAGCTGCCTAATTTGAAGCCATTAGCTTCATGTTGTTGTCATCCAGGTCAATGCAGCGTTAACAACAGGCTGCCGCACGCACGCACGCACGCACGCACGCACACACACACACACACACACACACACACACACAGAGAGCTGAGATGTGTTCTGTACTGCATATGTGCTGCTGTAAAGCTGTGGCAGCCATACTATAGTCTGCATATGAATGAATCAAGCTGAACAAATACCTGACACAGCCCATATGATGAATGATGAAGTTGTTAATGTGTGACATTATTGGAGGTGACAGTGTGATCTGGTGTCTGCATGATGATGATGATGCAGTGAGCCCGGCTGTGTGAGGCGTCTCTATCTCAGCCGTTTGCATCACTGCCTCTCAGTCTCTCCCACAATCTGGAGAGAAGCGAAAGAAAATGATCTGAAAATGAAATATGACGTGTAATTTTTTTGTATTTGCTGCACATTTTTGCAAAAAGTCCTGGAAAATGACGCCTTCCTACACACATACAAAAACGCACACACACACACACACACACACACACACACACACACACACACACACACACACACACACACACACACACACACACACACACACACACCACACACACACACACACACCAAACACAAGATAAAGTTGCTCCTACAAAGGAGCAGCGGGGGGTGCTGCGGGAGTGTCTGCGTGCGCATCTCTCCCAGATGAGCTAAACAGTTTTTTTGCACGCTTTGAGAGCAGCCAGGCTGTGGAGGTACAGAGGGACCAGGAGCTACACTGCCCTTTTGTTTTAAATAGGGCAGATGTGTGTAAATCCTTTAAAAGGGTTAACCCACACAAGGCTCCTGGACCTGATGGCATCCCTGGCCGTGTTCTCAGGGTGTGTGCAGTTCAGCTGGCAGAGGTGTTCACAGACATCTTCAACAGGTCCCTGCTGCAGTCTGTAGTCCCCACATGTCTTAAACACTCTACCATCATTCCTGTCCCCAAAAAGACAATCATCACCTGCCCCAACGACTACCGCCCAGTAGCACTCACCTCCATCATAATGAAGTGCTTTGAGCGGTTAGTCAAATTATTCATCACCTCCTCCCTCCCTGAATCTCTGGACCCCCTGCAGTTTGCCTACAGAGCAAACAGGTCCACAGACGACGCCATAGCCCTCACCCTCCACACTGCCCTCTCACACCTGGACCCGAAGAACAGGAACACATATGTGAGAATGCTGTTCATTGACTACAGTTCAGCATTCAACACCATTGTGCCCTCCAAGCTGGCCATCAAGCTCAGAGACCTCGGGCTCAACAGCGCCCTCTGTGACTGGATCCTGAACTTCCTGACGGGCAGACCCCAGGCAGTGCGGGTGGGAAATATCACATCCTCCACCCTGATTCTCAACACCGGTGCCCCTCAAGGCTGCGTGCTCAGCCCTCTCCTCTACTCCCTGTTCACCCACGACTGCGTGGCCACACACAGCTCCAACACCATCGTGAAGTTTGCTGATGACACGACCGTCATCGGCCAGATCACAGACGATGACGAGACGGCGTACAGAGAGGAGGTCGAAAACCTGACATCTTGGTGCCAGGAGAACAACCTCCATCTCAATATCAGCAAAACAAAGGAGCTGATTGTGGACTACAGGAAGCAGCAGGGAGAGGGACACGCCCCCATCGCCATCAATGGGACTACGGTGGAGAGAGTCAAAAGCTTCAGGTTCCTTGGGGTCCACATCACTGAGGACCTGACATGGTCTCTTCACACCACCACCATCACCAAGAAAGCTCGACAGCGGCTCTTCTTCCTCCGCAGGTTGAGGAGGTTCAAAATGGATTCCAGGATACTCTGCAACTTCTACAGGTGCACGATAGAGAGTATCCTCACTGGCAGCATGACGGCCTGGTACGGCAGCTGCACCGACCTCGATCGTAAGGCTTTACAGAGGGTGGTGAAAACTGCACAGCACATCACCAGGACGGAGCTGCCATCCATGGAGGACCTTTACTCCCAGCGGCTCAGGAAGAAATCACTACGGATTATCAAAGACCCCCATCACCCCAGCCACAAACTGTTCTTTCTGTTGCCGTCTGGCAGACGTTACCGCAGCATCCTGGCAAGGACAAGAAGATTCGGAGACAGTTTCTTCCCGCGGGCAGTGAGACTGTTAAAAAATTGAACTGTTGAAACAACTTCAAACATTCAACTGCTACTCAGTAGTATGTATCTAATACCTAATATATATATATCATTCCAATAACTTGTATATAGACTCATACTGCACTATTCCACATCATAACTTTATTTCATTTTTATAACTATTATTATTTTTGTATTGCTCATGCTCTTATTGTTATTATGTTATGTTATTATGTTGCATTGTTGGAGAAGCCTGTGACATAAGATTTTCAACTGCATAATTACTCTGTAGCTATGTCAGATTGACAATAAAGAACCTTGAACCTTGAACCATTATAAAATGCCTCTGTAGGGAAAAAAAGTGTGTATGTGCAAATCCAAGCATGTGTGTGTTTGCATGCGCGTTTACAGTGTGTACTACACCATTGCATTTTTTTGTAAGCTATTAGTCTGAAGCATCAATTGGGGTTAATAGGGGACAGTAGGAAGTTGATGACGTCTCATTCTTTATGGGCCAGTCTGACTGGTCCTAACCAGACCAAACAGGCAGATGAGACTTGTGATTGAGTGTTTAAATACACACTTTCAAAGCCTGTGTATAGAGGCTTGCCCTGCAGGGACAGTGGTGTGTAGTGGTACTGTCACGATAATGACATGAGGGCAATGCCAGCTGTCAGTTTCAAGGTTACTACGTCAATAGAAAATCCTTTTGAACCATGCACACCATATTTTCAGGTGTATATTTTACCTTGTAAAACGATTTGCTTTTCTTACAGTCAACCAAAGCTGTTGGCATTACAGAAATCGGACCAAACCTAAACGTGTCAAACTGGAGTTAGGGGGAATTAAGCAGAAAAGAGCTTTTGAATTACTCAGAGACTTCTCCGTCCCTCTTCTTATTTCCCTCTCCCTTGAGTTTCCCCACTAACCTTATTCCCTTTATCACCCACTCATTTCATATGGGTAACAGATCCATTGTTTTTCTGCCAGGTTGTCTAGTGTGTGCTTTTTGGACCTTATTGTCTGACCACTCGATGTTGGTTTCCTTATCTGCTACTGGTGAGGTTTTGCCTGTTTTGCCGGTTCCTTTAAGCCTTTTGCATTCAAGTATTTTGTGTCCTTTTCTTGTTTGCAACTAGTTTTGTTACCTGAAGCTCCACCAAGTGTAAACACCAAAGTGTGTCTCCAGAGAAAGAGAAAAAACGATCTGGTGTAAGGAGTGAGCTTAACCTCTGTATCCCTGCACTCCTTATCGCAGCATGAGGAGCAGCTCGAGCCTAAAGTAGCTGCTATTTGCAAAAGACCTCCCAGAATATATATATTTTTTAAAACTCTTGTTTTGTTTTATTGATTCTGGAAAAAGAATTGAGACAAGATGATCACAAAACGGTGTCTAAAAAAAGCCTGATTTAGTCTATGGATGGGTAAACACCTGAACTATGATGCGTTTTTGCACCCTATGTTCTGCTAACAAAAAACACCAGCCTACAAGAATAAATAGTATCGGCAATGTAAGCACCAAGGTTAAAAGCGGTCATGAAGGAGATAACCACTAAATTATCCCACTGACAGAGAAAACCTGCCTTGCAAGAGCTCGGCCTGGGATTGTTCCGGAAGCTGTACAATGGCCAGATGACCACAGCTGTGAGGTACATCAACACCGCTAACACGTTGCATGCTGTCAGGACTTTGTCAAATGGTGCGGGGAAGAGAGACAGAAGGCGGCAGACGGTAAAGATGATGACGAGGAGGGCAAAGATGAAGCAAATGGAGTAGACAGCGACACACCACTGGAGCCCTGGATAGCTAGAGTACTGGCGGTGGTCCAAGCAGATGAAGATGATGCAGGCCACAAAGGCCTCCAGAACCTTGAGGAGGCCCGGGACTGTGGACAGGAACCCACTCAGCTCGCCGGGTTTAGCTCGGGTCAGCCCCACTTCAACGGCGTACAGGATAAAGACCAGACAGGAAGTGACTGTGGCACCGATCTGTCTGCTGCAGCTGGAGCAAGTGTAGAACCTGGGAAAGATGATGGACGCTGCTAGCACCTGTGTGAGGAAAAGGTAATTATAAGAATGAGAAATGATTCATTCTAACCTTACTGTCAGTCTTTTTGACTTATAAGAACAATTGCACACTTAACCTGTTAGACCCCAAGCCTGTTTTTCAGATTTCAGGCTCGAAAATGACATGCCCAGAACAAATGACTATAACTTCACTTCCAAAAGGGTTAAATTAATAATATTTTTTCTCAAAGCAAGGTTACATCTGTGAGCTGTCAGAATCAATATAGATGTTTCTGTGTCAGAGTGAATTCAGATGGAACATAGTAAAAAAGTGTAAATTCTTACCTCCGCCTAAAAAACCCCCATTACTTATAGTGAAAACCACCCTTGAATTATGGGTTAGTAGCCTAAAAGCTTTAGAAATCCAAAGTATAACATATAATAAGTACCCTGTATCAAGATTGAGGCAAAACAAGTGAAAATTGATCTTTTTAGAGATATTTAGGGAAAAAAAGTCCAGGCGGACTAAGCTTTGGGCACATTTGGGCACATCTGGTTCCATCAGTGCCATTTGACCTTTTTCAGGTACCAGACTGTAAAAATCATTTTATAACATTGAATCATCACTATAGTTATTCATTCCATCATAAAAAAAAAAAAAAAAAAAAGATTATTGTAAAATTTAAAAAATAAATAAAAATATTTAACCTGCTAATTATTGTCATGGATTTGAAAACTGATGTTGTTTATTTGCTATGTTCTGGCTGCTAGCTCAGTGAATTCTTGCCTGCAGTGATGGGGTGTATACCCATGGAATCTGTGGAATCTCAGCTTTCAGATGATGTGTTGTTTGTGCAGAAAGTATAATTATAAATGATAATTTTTGTGAGTTATGAGCAGAAATAGCATTAGTCCGTCTTTGCTAAGGGCTCATTGAAAGGCTTCTTGTGGGAATTATTATTTATTTTTTTTTTTCGTGTAGTCAGTTAGCTGAGTTTCTTCCCGTCAGCTGGGTGTGGAACATTCATAGTTTCATAAATGACACTTCAGAGATCACACTGGTGCTAGCAGATGTAGCATTTTCGGACCCTTCGGCGGGTCCGTGGGGTTGTAAATGATATCCTACTCTTACATTATGTTAGCTGTAATTTGGCCTTCATTGGGTTCATTTGATAGATAGTCTACAGATTTTTCACTGTCAACATCTATATATTTTACTTTTCAGTTCTGTGTTTCTGTTCTTTTTGTGTTTGTTAATTTCTTTTTTTTGTTCTCACATTTTGTGCAAGGCCTTGTTTTAACTTGCTGCTGTGATGAAAAAATTCCCAAATTGGGATCAATCAAATAAATCTTATCTCTTTATCACTTATTGATAACCCCTTTTTTTCTTTGTATATTAGCAACAGTAAAAAGTACATTATCACCAGTAAATAATAAACATACATTTTTACAACAGCCTAATGTCAAAGTTAGTCAAATGTGATTATTATCATCTGGTTTGGGGAGCTGTGGCTATATTAAAATATACTTTTTTATGTTAATAAAACTCAGCTTCTCTAAATCTCTTTTAATTGAATTGTAGGAGTAACAAAGTAAACCAAATGAAACAATTTCAGGAAATATTTCTTAAAAAGTACATAAATTAATTGTGTGATAAGGTGGATTTGTTCTCCCTCTGTACCCTTATGTTTACATTTTCATCTTGGCTCACATAATGTATTTATTTAAAAGGTTAGCTCATTCATTTATGTTCAAATGCATCTTCTTTTCAACCTGTACACTTTAATATTCCCAATAACACTAATGTCACTGGCTTCAACAACAATCCATGTCAAGTTTATAATACAAATATTTGTAAACAAAGACAAATGAGAACATACCAACCATTAGAGTTGCCAACATGGTAAAAGCGGCAGTGAAGTCCTCCCAGGAGATCGGCAACTTAGAGCTGAGGCTGAAGAACTCCAGGAAGAGTATGAGAAAGGTGACGCAGAATCACAAGCACCAGGTGAACATGCACCACGTCCAGAAGGACTCGGCCCTGTTTCCCACTGAAGCCACCAGGCTGAATGAGATACAGGTGAGGATCAGCTCCAGTATCCGCACGATGCCCACAGGCACTGTCAGTGTCCTGAAATCCAGTGTCACCATGGTGGTTGTAATCCTGTTACTGTGGTTCTGGAGAGATATTTAATAAGATATCCTCTTTTCACCAGCTTCTTTCCTCTTCCTTCTTAATTTGTTTTATTATTTTTGCTTTCTCAGGCCTCGCAGCTCATCGGGTTAGTCCTGCCTGAATGACGGATACAGAAAAGGTGAATGCAGAACCAATGGCCGGTCCCTTGTCAACGCCCATCTGTAACTTCTTCCTTAAATAAGCGTGTGAGATATATGGAGGGTTTTTCTAGGGGTGGGGTATCTGGTGTTTCCCTTTTTTTTGTTGCTTATCCGTTGTTTGCATATGGCATGGTCAATACAATAATTCAAATGATTTACAGCAGTTGTGTCCAACAGGAACTGCACCCTATGACGTGTCCTTTCACTTCACCCTTTTTGTTATTAATTATGTTTGCCAACTTAACAGCTTGCCCACACATCAATGGATTCAATCTGTAAATGCGTTACAGGAGGCTTAAAGGAATCTGGCCTCAGTGCTACAGAAGAATAATGTAAGATATACATGGAGCTTATATTTGTCTTTCACTGGATATGAAATGTAGGTGTGAAATACTGCATAGAGAATACATCTGAGGTATGATATTAATGTTGCTTTTTAGGACATGGATTAATCAACTAAGGGCTTTCAATTACAGTACTGTTCCAAATGAAATCCACTTTACTGCCAACTGTTTTAGATGGCCACACACACACACACACACACACACACACACACACACACACACACACACACACACACACACACACACACACACACACACACACACACACACACACACACACACACACACACACAAGATAAAGTTACCAGTGTAAAATGCCTCTGTAGGGAAAAAAAGTGTGTATGTGCAAATCCAAGCGTGTGTTTGCATGCGTGTTTACAGTGTGTACTACACCATTGCATTTAATTGTAAGCTATTAGTCTGAAGCATCAATTGGGGTTAATAGGGGACAGTAGGAAGTTGATGACGTCTCATTGTGATTGAGTGTTTAAGTAAACACTTTCAAAGCCTGTGTATAGATGCTTGCCCTGCAGGGACAGTGGTGTGTAGTGGTACTGTCACAATAATGACATGAGGCCAATGCCAGCTGTCAGTTTCAAGGTTACTACGTCAATAGAAAATCCTTTTATTTATTTAATCGTTTATTTGGCAGGGACAATGCACAGTAATGAACACTTAAAACATTAAAATGAACCATGCACACCATATTTTCAGGTGTATATTTTACCTTGTAAAACGATTTGCTTTTCTTACAGTCAACCAAAGCTGTTGGCATTACAGAAATCGGACCAAACCTAAACGTGTCAAACTGGAGTTAGGGGGAATTAAGCAGAAAAGAGCTTTTGAATTACTCAGAGACTTCTCCGTCCCTCTTCTTATTTCCCTCTCCCTTGAGTTTCCCCACTAACCTTATTCCCTTTATCACCCACTCATTTCATATAGGGAACAGATCCATTGTTTTTCTGCCAGGTTGTCTAGTGTGTGCTTTTTGGACCTTATTGTCTGACCACTCGATGTTGGTTTCCTTATCTGCTACTGGTGAGGTTTTGCCTGTTTTGCCGGTTCCTTTAAGCCTTTTGCATTCAAGTATTTTGTGTCCTTTTCTTGTTTGTCACTAGTTTTGTTACCTGAAGCTCCACCAAGTGTAAACACCAAAGTGTGTCTCCAGAGAAAGAGAAAAAACGATCTGGTGTAAGGAGTGAGCTTAACCTCTGTATCCCCGCACTCCTTATCGCAGCATGAGGAGCAGCTCAAGCCTAAATTAGCTGCTATTTGCAAAAGACCTCCCAGAATATATATATTTTTTAAAACTCTCGTTTTGTTTTATTGACTCTGGATTTTTTTTTAGACAAGATGATCACAAAACGGTGTCTAAAAAAAGCCTGATTTAGTCTACCCTCATTGATATGAATGGATGGGTAAACATATGTAAAACTCAGGTATTCGGTATTAAACTCTTAAGACTTAAGGCAATTTAATAGTATGCCACAGTGTAGTCAATCTGGCAAAAAATGTTTTCTCTTTTATAAAATACCAAAAACAGCAGCTCATTGTATGTTTCTATACAGAAGTACCCTAAATTGTCCTTGAATGGCTCAGTCGCTAGAGTGTTTACATTCTTATAACATTGGCTGCAATGATCTAATTTCCTTACACTAATTTCCTCAAAACAAACCTAACCCAGGTAATAAGTTATTGTAATGGACTACATTTCTAAAGTTACTTTATCATCCCAACTCCTTACTGAGCTGAATCAATACTCCACCGCTGATCACCACGATGAGGCAAAACATGTTTGTGTGTGTTTTGGTGTGCAGGAAAGGGTTGAGTGGAGGACAAAGAAAGTTGAAGATAATTAATGAGAGGAGGTCCAGAGTGGCGACGCTGTGGCTGGCGCTGTGTGTTCATGTCAGAAGATGAAAAGGTTTTAAAAATAAAAAAAATCAATCGGTATCTGTGCTGTATGATCACTCTTCTAGAGAAAACCCACACACAGTATCAATGGGAGAGTTTTTTTAAGCTTTTGAGTTTTAAAAAAAATCTCCCTGTAGTCTGTTTGTATCATCATTAAATTACATTTTAATGTAGGCACCGGGCTGTCTTCTGTGTTAATCAGTTTCCTTTTTACACAATATATCCGTACTTAAAGGAATACAAGTAGAAAGTATGAAAGCAAATTACATCTCTCTGTTGTTTCACTATGGGATTAATTGCTTTGAGAATGTTTAAATTCATAGTTGTGATGCGCATGAGCTTGGGGAATTATTTTGCATGTAAAGATTGTTCATTTAATTAACTGCAGACTTATGATTAGCTAGTTAGGTTAATAACTTGTGCTTAACTGTGAGAGCAAAGCAAACTGCTGTGTGTTTCCTCTGATTGTATCAATAAAATAAGATAAAAAAACAACTATCTTAAAACAATCTGAGTTTCCAGGAAATGTTTCTCCTAATCTGAAGATTTAAAAAAAATGAGCGTCACCCAGACATCATACTCACTCTTTGATAAGCTATAAAAGTTCTCAGTGTGTCTTTTTGCATTATGCTAATTAATTGCAGTACGTTATCTTCCTGTTAACACGGCCCTTTATCATTTCCCCTGAGGGAGTTGTTAATTAGGAAAGACAGAAAGGCTATATTTTATTATTAAAGGAAAACCCATTTGACAATCATAATTATAACTTGCCAGGATTTTCGAAAGAAGACATATCATTAAGCATTCAGGCGACATTAGGCTTTCATGGAGTGACAGTGTCAGCCTGCATTTAACCCTCTGTCTGAAGAAAGGGAGGATTTGCACAAAGTGGAAGCTCGAAATAACAACTCCTGGCGTCTGGTGTGGGAATGTTTGAGAACACTTGTCCTTCAATGGTGAACATAACATTTTCTGAGCTGGATAAAAAAAATACTGACTCTCCTCAGATCTTTCAGAAGGAGTTATGGCTCTAAAGCAGGGGTGTCCAAACTACGGCCCGGCAAATTAAAAAAGTATAATGGAATATAGCCCACAAATGAAACTTGTGCTTGACTTCTATTGTACTTCTTAAATATAAATGTAAACATATATTACACAGTACTATTCATGTGATAATAAGACCACTTTTCAAAATAAATTCAGTCAATTAAAGTTGGAAACATTTTCAAATTTTCTTAGTTGAAAAAAGCCCAATGACTTATTTACAGAACAAGCTTAAAATACACCCTTCCTATTTCTCCTTAATATAATCAATCTGAGGCTTCTGTTTTAAGGGATGAGCTGCCAACACTCACAAGCATAATGTACCTACATTTGATTGATTTTGCTAACTTATAACTGAACTTATGACGCAATATACCTCTAGTGAGTGGCCCAGCCCTTCGTATATTTTTTTGTATGTGGCCCTCAGTGAAAACAGTTTGGACACCCCTGCTCTAAAGGTTAGTCTGGCTAAGATCTGGATATCAGGGGATAATGTACTAGCTGGTAGGATTGGAAAACAGATTTTAATTTGGCCTTTTGCAAAAGGGGTTGGAGTTAGTGTTATTTCTTGTTAAATACATATCCGTTTAGGCAGGTTTAATCTAAAATGACAAGTTAAAGTGAAAGTAAATAAATGAGGTGTTGACCTTGCTGACCTTCTGAAAGCGCAGACATTTAAATACAGTGTGAATATAATACATATGAAAACTTAGATTATGTTTTGTAAATGTATTGGACTCAAGACTCAAAGTTTCAACATTTTCAAATGGTCTGTGTTGATGACAGATTGCCTCCTATAGCATTAACACTAAACCACAGGAAGAGTGAGTTTTTTGGCTTCTTGAAATTATTTTTTCTTAAATGAGATGACAATTGGTCCAAGTGCTCATTTAGGATCTTTGTAATCATTTTTGAAAAATCACTGAGGTTACAGTATATTAGCTATGAGCAATTAGCTGAAAGAACCTTTGACATTGGAAAAATACCATGTAATAAGTGTATCTTCAAGGTACAGTTACATGTTTAACCCTCCTGTTGTGTTCGGGTCAAATCTGACCGATTTACTACTTTCATCAATCATAACTTTTTGTTTTATATTCGATTGAATTAAGGCTTTTACGATATCCTTCACAGTAGACATTTGAACATATACAATTGCTGATCACCACTTTCATTGAATTTTGGATGATTTTGTCATGGTGTTCCCGGTCAAAACTGACCGCCATAAAGAAAAAGGAATTAGTAACCATCAGGATCAGATAAAACACACACACACACAAACACACACAAACACCCACACCCACACATACTAGATGTGTTTTCCCCCCCTTATGTGCCCATCCCCCCATGTGAATCACACCTGGCACACACACACACGCACACACGCACACGCACACACACACGCACACACACACACACACACACACACACACACACACACACACACACACAGTACAACACACACCTACAGCTCCTAAAGCATATAATATATATCAGGATAAAGCCGTTGTGTATTTTATTATGTGAAGCACTAAATGGTTTTAGAAAAATATCGACTCTTTGTTTGTACTAAACTAAAGCATACAAATTGTTATCACTGGAAACATCGCGTCGTGATTAAAGCAGTTAATAAAATAATATCCAGGGGATGCATGCAGAGCTGTCATTGGCTGAGATAAGTCCGGCCGTGCGTCACGACTCTTATAAACATCACTCCATTCGCGGAGGATACATCAGTGTATCCTCGGTTATAGCTCCTCCAGAGAGCCTCCTCGATGCTCGATCCTCGGTCCTCGATGTGCATTTAGAGAACTGAGATGTCCTTCAACATGGCACGCTGAAATCCATTTCCGGGTCACTACCGGAGGACCGAGGAGTCGAGGAGGGTAAATTAGAGAAATGAGAAACCTTCAACGAGTAAAAACCTACTTAATTAAAAAATATGTATAAAAAGTTCAAATTTGTTGAACTTTGACAGTGCAGCCAATAGCTGCTGAAAAATGCTTAAACTGAAGAAATTAAGAAACAACCACAAAACTTACTTTCTGAATTTCCATAACTCTACAAAAAACAAAGTTGCCTAATAAGCCAAGAAACATTTGCTTTGTTAAACATCAGAATGCGGAGGCAGATACAAGGTTTGTTTATAAAAGCACTGATATAGTCTTTAAAGTGGAATCCTCTGCTAGCAGTATTAGCATTGTAGCTAAGACTGTAGCTTTCTGCTTTAATTTGCATACACATTAGATAAAGAGGGAATAAGTTTACTATTTGAACAGGTACACTTTTTATATTAAGACTTAAAATGACTCGGTAAACATGCAGGCATTTTCTCTCTATCTCTCTCTCACAAACATTTTTCAAATATAAGGCATCGATTTTTTTACCCTGGACAATCTTGAAGTAGTGCCAGTTAATAAGTGGTGATATATTTTCAAAATGTCCTCTCCTGATTGCTGCACAGGATCCCTTTTAAAATGAGTAAGAGGTTATTGGGAAATAAGATGAATTAAGTAAAAAATTGACCTGAAGTTAAGAAATGTGTTTATTGCTGATAACTAAATGTCGATACATTTATTGAGGTTTATTCTTTACATTAAAACGTCAATGTAAATTCCCTAGAATAAGAAAATTGATATAAAATAGTCTAAAAGAAATAAATGTTATTACTTAATAAGCAAATATCATCATAAACCAGAGATGATAGAGGGTATTGAAACACCTTTGACAGGCATTGTTTTTTTCCTAGTCAATATTAAACAATATAAACGTAATGTGTGAATTAAGGACAAGTTAGAGGTAAAACATTTAAATACTTTAAACTTGATTTATTTTAAAACATATAAACACATTAAGGGTCAACGATTATTGTTGCTTAAAAATACTGTACACTAAGAATCCCTTAAACATGTCCTTACAGCTGCGTTCCCTAAAATTCCTTCTTGGGGAGAATCAAAGTAAATGAGTTACAAGATAAGTTTTGCCAATGCCATTAATTACAATCATTGATTTAGTTTAAACTGCACTTAATGACTGAACCTGTCAATGATTGTCAATAGTGTTTGACACACTCCCCTCAGATAACAGAGTCAGAGCAGGTTGGAGGAATGTCATTGATTTAATGAACATACAGCACAGAAACACTTTCCCACTGCTGAGTCCAGGAGATCCTTTCTAAAGTACAAGCTTAGATTTCATGAACAAATGTAATTCTTACAACTGATCTGTAGCTGCAGCCCAGTTTAAATTGCCACCATATTTATTCAGTTTTATGTAGACGAAAACACTCTGTTTAATGCATTTTTGTCTCTTGTGCAATCTAAATGAAAGCTGATTGTGCATGCCTCTGTGTCTGACAGAAACAGACAATTGACTTAAAAAAGCTCTCTCTTTCTGACAGACTGACATGAGAAGAAAAGCTACATTTCCACGCTCCGGTTGCTCCTTTTGAGTCCAGATCACTCACACGGATTGGTGTGCCAGGTAGCACAAAGGCTGCAGGATTACAAGTGAGATTTGGTTGATGTCTTTTTAGACTTCCTATTGGTTAAAAAAGGAAAATAATGAATTGACGTCATACTTTTTGTAGCTTTCCGTTCCTACCCACCACAACTTTGAGCAAGAAAAGAAGCTAAATAAGAAAAAAAGAAAGATAACACCTTGAAAAAAGTTAGCTGTTAATTAAAGGGTTTTCTCTTCCACTTTTCCCACACATCGCTTCAACGTGGAAATATCTCGCTGTCTCGCCTCTACCTGTTTCTCTTCCTCTTCTCTTCCCGTTGCATCTTTCAATGGACGCACTGCTTGTCACTGTTCATGCATCATGTTAAACTAATTGTTATCTGTAGGCATTTACTTTACCAGAAAATGATTTTACGAATAAAGAAATAGTACATTTTAATTTCTTTTTTGTGGAGCATTATATTAGATGATTATGAGGGTGCTATCAATCTACTCTACAAGTATTTTTAACAAGCCGCTATGCCTTTAATCAGCAGGCCACCCACGAATGATGACATCACAATCATTTAAGTGTAGACATAGATTGACATGTGGCCTTATTTGACTGTGACTCAGTGTTATAAAAACTAAAGTAGGAGCTCAAAATTATGACCTGCACTATTTGATTTACATCAGGATCCAAAGTTCTACCAGGCTAATTTTATTTTTTACAACAGTGATATAATAGTTTTAATCATTAACTAACTCCACATAGTATACAGGGCACCAAACATGCTGTTCATTTAATCACTCATCTTTAGCAGAATATATGTATTGCATTCAGCATTGTGTGTAAAAGAACAGTACATCTATAAATCCCTGGATTGTTTTCAGTTCACGTTGAGAGGCAGCAGCTTCACTCATTGCTTACAAAGAACACAAGGCGTATGGAGTAAACTGTGTCCAGGGTGTAAACAATGACGTTGAATATCGTCATGAAGGTGACCACCACCAGTTTATCCCAGGGACAGAGGGAGGCACAGGTAATGGGTCTCTTATTATTGCGGAAACTGTACAGTGGCCAGATCACCATTGCTGTTGTATACATCACCGCTGCCAAAATGTTATAGACAATCACAACTTTGTCAAAGTACGGAACAAAAGAGGTCAGCTGTGCAGTGGTGATCAGGATTATGAGGAGGGCGAAGATGAAGCACAAGGAGTACGCGGCCACGCACCACTGCAGTCCTGGGGAGCTTGAATACTGTCCTGTCTCCAGGGACATGAAGATGAGACAGGCGAGGAACGTCTCCAGCATCTTCATGATGCCGGGCAACGTGGAGAGGAACCCGATGTTCTGCCCGCTTGGACGAAGGCGAGTTAAAACCACCTCGCCTGCGTACACCCCGAAACAAACCCAGGACACAACAGAGGCTCCGATCTGGCGGTGGCAGGTCTTGCAAGTGAAAAATGTGGGGTATATGATGGAGACGGAAAGACACATGAGAGTTGACAGCATGGCAAAGCCAGTGGTGAAATCGTCCCAGGCAAAAGGTAATTTGGCGTTGACAGTTGTGAACTCCAGGATGAGAATGAGAAGGGTGAAGAAGAAGCAGAAACACCAGGTGAACATGCACCACGCCCAGTAGGGAGACTGTACGTAGCCCACTGTTGCCACCAGGCTAAAACACATACAGGTGAGGATGGCCGCCATTATTCGCATGATGCCCACTGGCTGAGTGAGCGCCCGCAAGTCCACACCAATCATGGCTGCACAGGATGAATCTGTTTGACCCCAAAAAAAAAAATGTTTCCAATGTCAGATGATTCTTCTCAGTGCACCCCTCGTTCAGCAAGGCCTTGTTTTTCAAACCAGCTCCTGTCAAAGAAATCCATGTAGCCAAGAGCTCCTGAGCAGGTGTGTTCTTTGAAACAGAAACTCAAAGTGTGGTGGGTGTATACTCAAACAGAGCATCCCAGGCTTATCTGCACAGTTTATGGCCCGTGTTTGACTTTACGGATTGGATACAGGTTGTCTGTTATCATATTCATCTCACGCCACTCACATTGCACTCTGGTCCTCAGTGCAAGCCTTGTTCAGAAACTAATCTCCAATACAATGATGGGGTGTAAGGTCAAGTCCTACGGAAAATCACACCTAACCTGTCATGGATATCTGGATCCAAAGATAGATCTCATCTTTGTCCCTGGGTAGTTTAATAACGTTTTTTAAATCAAATATATAGTTTTTTAATTGAAGTGTATAAACTTGTCAGTTAACAGCATAAAAACACCCCATGGTATACTAGTTAGAGCCTTTAGCCCCATTTATTAGAGTTGACTTTAACTACATTAAAATAACGTGAAGAAAGTTTATATTATTCTATTCCACATAAAAAAGAGAAAAATAACAATAGATTGTTTAGTGTATTTACTCAATGTTAGTCATTACATCAGTGTTTACATTGCCCTCTACCAAAAGCAAAATATACTGTTAAAACTCAAACTCACTTTCTATACATTAAGCCAAGAAGCAAAACAAATTATAAAAAAATCAACCTTGTATATGACAACAAAAGCACTCATTACAAAATAGATATGTTGTATTTGGCTGCCTTTGGTACCCTTGAAGTTTGCATTATGGTTTGGGTCCAAAATAACATTGTGTAATGTGGTCGATAACCTATAACTTATAGACACAGAAAGCCCTTTTTTTAAATTGATGTTTGATTTTATTCTCTCTCCTTCTCTTTATTTGTGTTTACAAGATAATTATTATTTCTACTCGTGATTCTCCATTTTTACTATAGAGGGCAGCAATGCTTGGACTGGAGTAAGATTGTGTATCTAACCTCAAAAGATATTATTACGATAAGCAAAACAGACTTTAATCCTGACCTATCACTCACTTTCCTTTGTTAAAAAACACATTTACCGTCACTACTTTTTTTATTTTGACGTTTCATCATTAAATGTGGCAACACAGAGGAGTGACTACATATCATGATAGAGAAAAGTTTGTTTATACGAAAAGCAGCAAAGTTTGAGTGGAGTTGTGGAAGGTATACACACTTTGGCACACCTTTGCAAACATCCTTAGAAAAGGATAGGAGAGGGGCAACTGTGCCTGTTTAAACATTACACAGTTTATTAAGTCATTAAACATATTACTCATTTACAAGTCCAAATCCAGGAATGTTTTTCATTTGTTACTGAGGTGCTGAAACAGTTAAGAAATAGTTACACTTGCGTTGTTGACACATTTACCGTCACTACTTTTTTTATTTTGACGTTTCATCATTAAATGTGGCAACACAGAGTAGTGACTACATATCATGATAGAGAAAAGTTTGTTTGTACGAAAAGCAGCAAAGTTTGAGTGGAGTTGTGGAAGGTATACACACTTTGGCACACCTTTGCAAACATCCTGAGAAAAGGATAGGAGAGGGCCAACTGTGCCTGTTTAAACATTACACAGTTTATTAAGTCATTAAACATATTACTCATTTTCAAGTCCAAATCCAGGAATGTTTTTAATTTGTTACTGAGGTGCTGAAACAGTTAAGAAATAGTTACACTTGTGTTGATGACACAAATCACACTTTTATTCCTATTTCAAACACTGGAATTTACAACGATATACACTACATGAGTTTGCAACTGAGACTATCACTGTCATATCAATGCTGTATCAAAAATAACGGAATTAATAAGAGTCAATTGAGAATAATGCAAGTAAAAGGGTATAACAATAGATTGAGATAACATCTTCTTAATGTTAAAAACTAGACACAGGACTGTTATTCCATGTCCTTAGAGAATGTGACATCAATAAATAGAAGTCAACAAATAAAAACTAAGATTGACAAAGAGTGTCAGGGTTATCATGAACAAAATACAGTGAATCTTTAACAGTAGTTATCAAAGAGCTGCTTTATCTAAGTTCTGGTTGACATTTGACACCTGAACTATGATGCGTTTTGCAACCTATGTTCTGCTAACAAAAAACACCAGCCTACAAGAATAAATAGTATCGGCAATGTAAGCACCAAGGTTAAAAGCGGTCATGAAGGAGATAACCACTAAATTATCCCACTGACAGAGAACACCTGCCTTGCAAGAGCTCGGCCTGGGATTGTTCCGGAAGCTGTACAACGGCCAGATGACCACAGCTGTGAGGTACATCAACACCGCCAACACGTTGCATGCTGTCAGGACTTTGTCAAATGGTGCGGGGAAGAGAGACAGAAGGCGGCAGACGGTAAAAATGATGACGAGGAGGGCAAAGATGAAGCAAATGGAGTAGACAGCGACACACCACTGGAGCCCTGGATAGCTAGAGTACTGGGGGTGGTCCAAGCAGATGAAGATGATGCAGGCCACGAAGGCCTCCAGAACCTTGAGGAGGCCCGGGACTGTGGACAGGAACCCACTCAGCTCGCCGGGTTTAGCTCGGGTCAGCCCCACTTCAACGGCGTACAGGATAAAGACCAGACAGGAAGTGACTGTGGCACCGATCTGTCTGCTGCAGCTGGGGCAAGTGTAGAATCTGGGATAGATGATGGACGCTGCTAGCACCTGTGTGAGGAAAAGGTAATTATAAGAATGAGAAATGATTAATTCTAACCTTACTGTCAGTCTTTTTTACTTATAAGAACAATTGCACACTTAAAGGTGGGGTATAGGTAAGTTTGAGAAACCGGCTCGAGATACACTTTTTGTTATATTCCATGGAATGCTCTTAACATCCCGATAGCAATGAATATCTTAAAGGGGACCTATCATGCAAAATGCACTTTTGTACGTCTTTTATACATGAATATGTGTCCCCGGTGTTCCAGGGAACTCAAGTGTCAGAAAACACAACCCTCTCTATTTTCCTCCATACCCAAATCTCTAAAAAAGGGGCTGCAACGGATCTGATAAAAACTGATCCAGATTTGAACACTGTCCTGACGTCAGGACAGTGGCGCTACGGCTATTGGGCCAACTCCACCAATCAGGAGGAGACAGCCACGGCCATTGCCGTTCGAAAGCGCTGGAGACGCTGTAGTACATATGCCAGGCCTGTAGGTGGTGCTGTTCTCACAGAATCAGCCCTTGCAAAAACAGAGCTAAAATGCAAATTGAGCTAAATGAGGCATGGCTAAAATGCATGATCTGTTTGGTATTTTGAAAAAAAAAAAGTATAAATATGCCTTATATAGGTATGGTCCTACACTATATTATTCAAATATAGCATGATAGGTCCACTTTAAGTGCTTTGACAAAAAATCCATAAAAAAATGTCATCTGTGGAAGCCGTAGTACTATAAAAAGCACGACCAATCATTTTAGCCGGCCCGGCTAAAATAACTGGATGGCCTACCTGCCTGTCAGCCTTCCATCTGTGCACCAACTTATCTCGTGCCCTCATTGGTCATGTGCGCGTTCGTGTGTGTTGGAGGAGGGCCTCTGTAAGGAAGTAGCAGATTTCTTCCGGCTGTGTATTTTCAAATTCTAGATCACTCGAGCTGGTTTCTCCAAAATTACCTACCCCACCTTTAATGTAAATGATATCCTACTCTTATATTTTGTTGGCTGTAATTTGCCCTTCATTGTGTATATTTGTCAGATAGTCTACAGATGTTTTGTCTTTTACTGTCAACATGTATATATTTCCCTTTTTTAGTTGTTTCATTTTTTATTTTGAGATGTTGATAAAAAAATGTTCACATTACGTGCAATGCCTTGTTTGAACCTGCTGCTTTGATGAAATGTTTTCCCAAATTGCGATCAATAAAGTTAATCTTATCTTGTTATCTCTTATTGATAACCCCTTTTGTAATATATTCGCAACAGTAACAAGTATATTAGCACCAGTAAATAATAAACATACATTTTTACAACAGCCTAATGTCAAAGTCAGTCAAATGTGATTATTATCATCTGGTTTGGGGAGCTGTGGCTATATTAAAATATACTTTTTTATGGTAATAAAACTCAGCTTCTCTAAATTGTAGGGGCTAACAATTTAAATACATTTTTCTTAAAAAGTACATCAATGAATTGTCTGATAAGGTGGATTTGTTCTCCCTCTGTACCATTATGTTCATATTTTCATCTTGGCTCACATACTGTATTTATTTAAAAGGTTAGCTCATTCATTTATGTTCAAATGCATCTTCTTTTCAACCTGTATACTTTAATATTCCCAATAACACTAATGTCACTGGCTTCAACAACAACCCATGACAAGTTTATAATACAAATATTTGTAAACAAAGACAAATGAGAACATACCAACCATTAGAGTTGCCAACATGGCAAAAGCGGCAGTGAAGTCCTCCCAGGAGATCGGCAACTTAGAGCTGAGGCTGAAGAACTCCAGGAAGAGTATGAGAAAGGTGACGCAGAAGCACAAGCACCAGGTGAACATGCACCACGTCCAGAAGGACTCGGCCCTGTTTCCCACTGAAGCCACCAGGCTGAATGAGATACAGGTGAGGATCAGCTCCAGTATCCGCACGATGCCCACAGGCACTGTCAGTGTCCTGAAATCCAGTGTCACCATGGTGGTTGTAATCCTGTTACTGTGGTTCTGGAGAGATATTTAATAAGATATCCTCTTTTCACCAGCTTGTTTCCTCTTCCTTCTTAATTTGTTTTATTATTTTTGCTTTCTCAGGCCTCGCAGCTCATCGGGTTAGTCCTGCCTGAATGACGGATACAGAAAAGGTGAATGCAGAACCAATGGCCGGTCCGTTGTCAACGCCCATCTGTACCTTCTTCCTTAAATGGTCAGTAAGGAAATGTTAAATAAGCGTGTGAGATATATGGAGAGTTTTTCTAGGGGTGGGGTATCTGGTGTTTCCCTTTTTTTTGTTGCTTATCAGTTGTATATATGGCATGGTCAATAAAATAATTCAAATGATTTACAGCAGTTGTGTCCAACAGGAACTGCACCCTATGACGTGTCCTTTCACTTCACCCTTTTTGTTATTCATTATGTTTGCCAACTTAACGGCTTGCCCACGCATCAATGGATTCAATCTGTAAATGCGTTATAGGAGGCTTAAAGGAATCTGGCCTCAGTGCTACAGAAGAATAATGTAAGATATACATGGAGCTTATATTAGTCTTTCACTGGATATGAAATGCAGGTGTGAAATACTGCATAGAGAATACATCTGAGGTATGATATTAATGTTGCTTTTTAGGACATGGATTAATCAACTAAGGGCTTTCAATTACAGTACTGTTCCAAATGAAATCCACTTTACTGCCAACTGTTTTAGATGCCCCCCCCCCCCCCCCCCACACACACACACACACACACACACACACACACACACACACACACACACACACACACACACACACACACACACACACACACACACATACACACATGCACGCTCCGACCCACACACACACTTAATGGTTTCATCTGAAAGTGTCCTTTATCTAACGGAACATTTAGATTAAATGTTGCGGTACAAGAAATATTTAAGAGTGGACAAAAATGTTCTAAGTGTTTTCGCCAAAATCTTAAAGAAAATGTATATAAAATGTGTTTGTGTTTTTATCCAGTCTTCATTGGAGTACCCATTAGAAGAAGAAAAAAGGTTTTGCCACATGATTCATTAGTCAAACCTCTTCAAACATGATTAAAATAAATCTCTATCTTGTTTAGATGAGTCTGCAATACTGTGACTTTGGCCCAAAATGGGTAGTGGTTATGATATGTTCCCATGAAGCAGGGGTCAATGGTTAACTCACAGCCTCTCCCATCCCCACCCCACCTTTCAAACACTGAGCCCTAACGTCTATAATTCCACAATCACAACCACCAGATATTTGTCCTTCGGATGTTCCTCCTTTTTCACTACTACTCACTGTTTCTGTATGTCACATTGAGCACCAAATAAAACACATTTGCTTTTATAACGTATTGATTGTGACCAAACACAGCTTAGTCAGTTTTTGTATAAAACATGTGAAGAATAGCAAACACTATTTAAGATCAGAAAACGAGGTCCAAGCAGAATAGGGCTGTCATGGTTTCTCTAAAGGGAATAAAAGACATTAAAAAAAATAAACTAATGATCTTATGATACTTGTAAGAGGCTTTCTAGGCATGATGCTACAACTACAAAGGTAGAGATAAGTTTGTCCCATTGTCAATGTTATGATATTGCTGTACTGTATTTCCTTTACACATGCAGTAGCACTGAATAGCATGCAGAGGCAGCCAAAACCTCAGATTCACTCTCCTTTGGAAAGCGCTTTGTTCGCTGGCCGTTCCCCTTATATAATGCTAACACTATATTGTATTGTGCAGATACATCACCACAAGTCTATACATTGTTTTTTCTTTATGGAAAATCCTAATCAGTTTACCTTTAAGCCCCAACCGAGACTCTACATAAAGCTGACCCACACAGGAAATCATAGTCAACACCATCTTTAATGTGTTCTGTTGATAATGTACATAACCGTTTACATTACTAGATTTTACACCGTTTAAAAAAACATACATTCAAAGTTCAAGTTTCTGGAGGCCAATATGATGTGTTTTATATATATTTAAAACAAAGTCTCAAACTGAAAAAAAACACCTATTTTTAAACTCAGATTTTTGTCACTTATCTTTCAACCAACACTCTGTAAAATAAACTGTAACAAAAGACTAAGACACAAAGAAAAATAAATTAATGCTGGCGAGAGGAAAGAGCTGCAATAATGATATATTGAAGACAGTAGAGGCACTGACGCTCTAATACGATTATTTGTCTGGTTTCCAAACAAAAGTTAACTGACAAGAGACAAAGAAGAGAGCTATCTCTAAAAGTCTCTTTGGGGTGTGACCGTCCTTGAAGACATTTCCCTGTCTGTCGATTGGCTTGTCTCCTGTGGGCTCCAAATCCAGTGTACTGTTTATTTATATCCTGTCCTGTCCCATCAAAGATTCATCCATGAAGACTGCCACAATATTCCTTCGACATGGTCTTACAATACCTCTGGCCTTAAACCCTTAGTTTATCAGAGCATCACAGAATCTCCTTTTATGACTTTGCATTACTGATAACAAGAGATAGATCAATAGAGAAAATGGGAGAAGGTCTTGGGCCTATCTGTAATTGTATAACCTCTGCAGGAGTCAGGAATTGCACTTTGTTAAAGGATATTTACTTTGATATTTCCAAATCATAGATACATTTTCATCAGAAATAAAGTAGTTTACAGCCATGTTTTAACCTATCCCTTCTATTTGTGTTAGAAGGTGCCCCTGTGTACAGCCTACTGCTAAAGGATAAAATGGCATGCTTGTTTTAATTTATGCATCCAATATGAAATATGTTACTGGAAGTTGTTTGGCTGTCTGCTTTTCAAAAGCTGCCTTCATTATACCTCTTTAGTCTTAGCCTAAAATTAGCTTAGTTTTATTGTTTCATGTGTTTCTCCCATGATCTGGAATACAGCCCATTGAATTTAACTCATGTTGCTCTCTCTGATGGTGTTAGGTCACAGCTATGCTCTGTCTCAGCTGACTCCCTGTGATGCTCACTTCCTGATTCACTGTATCCAGTATAATAGGATAACATAGAGATGTAATTGAGGCGAACCGATTATTTCACAAATGTGTGAAAACCGTTAACCAAACACTCTTTTATACTTACACAGCAGAAACAGAAATTATGTAGTAGGCACTAAAACAGAACTTTCTCCTAGTTGAAAGAAAACACTAACCTGTAATACTTCAAGAACAACACAAGTACCTAAAGCCTTAACAAACAATGTATGACGTATAACTTGCAAAGCCCTCCTCCTGTTGAGATGTGCTTAAACTGACCCCACATTCTGCTCTCTGTTAAGGATGGAGGGGGAACGGGCCTCAAACATTATAATTTTGCAAGTCTGCCGTCCTCTAGTGGCCATACATATGAACAATAGGAAATGTTTTCTTTGGATTCCCTTCCTATGTCGACCTGCAATTATCAAGTGTGGCTGTAGCGGAGTGCATTCCAGATGTAATGGGACATGTCCTTGTGACAGTCCTGTGACCTCTCGGTATCCTCAGCCCCGTCCTGACTGTCATCAGGAACTTCATGTGTCAAAGTCATGTGTTTAAACTTTAGAGGTTCACACAGTATGTGGGAGATCTAGTGTTGCAAAATAACACTCTCATTTCCTGCTTAACCATAAATTACAAATATTGACCTTTGGAAGAATCCTGCTTATAAAACAGAACTACTAACATAATGTTCTCCTCCGTATCATAACTTATTACTAAATAGTTGATCTGAATGTTGGATTCCCCATGTTAATACTTTACTTTCACTCCCTTACTTCTGCTTCTTACATCATTTAAATAAATACAAACCTGTTTTAATCCAAAATGTTATTTTATTGTTTAGAACTGCTCTACTTAGCCTTAAACGTGTGATGTCATTAAGTATAAAGTATTGAGCTGCTCCATAGACAATTTATATGGAAACTTTAAGAGACCCTTCCTCAGGGTGCTAACATATTTATAAATGTATTGTCTATGGAGCAGTCCCTGGCATTATACTTAGTGACAGCACCATTTTGAGTTTTAGATCTTTTGGATTTCTGAGAGAGTTGTTCATGTTAAGTCATACTTTTGGATTTTTTTATCCAATAGACATCATGTATTGAAATGTAAAAAGACCCACCAGGGTAGATTAGAAATGGTCACTAGGGAAGGAGGACAGTTCAACTTTTATTCATCCAGATGAAAGTGTAGGGAAAGCACAGTTACTGGTGTTACACGTCAGAAAACAACATGGATGTCAGTTTTTTTTATAGTGGGGAATAAAAGGCATGCAGCTGGTCATCTTTTTCACTATCGTAGCTTTAACCTCTTAAATTAAGTTTGGAATATCCCACACTATCTGGATGAAATAGGATTTTTACAGCTGAAAAACTTGAGGCTGGTTTCGTTTCCGTAGACATTCTCACATGGTTTTCATTAGGTGAGTCAGACTGAGATTAGACAACAGGAAACTACACAGGAAAAAACACGTACATACAGATGTTATCATGGCAGAGAGAGTTTAGTTATTATTCATCGACAAACAAAGTAACATTATTTTCTGTTAATCTGTCAAAAATAAGCCTTGGTCCCTAGTTAGAGTGTTTAGTACTACTAACTTTATGTACGTGTTTTTGTTGTTGTTTGTTTGGCCAACAAAAAAACATTTGTTCTTACAGGCGTCATTCACCATCTCTTTTTGCTGAATTCTGTGTTCATATTTGTTATTGCCTTTATGTTCATTATTTGAACAATGCTATACAAACACTGTATATTATACTAGTTATTCCTTTAAGACCCACCCATCCACAAAGAATGAAAGGGAGTGGAAGAAGGGAGGGTTTATCATGAATCTGTCGAGCTCCAGTCCGTCGACTGGATCCCAGTAACTGTAAGACTTCCTCGATAATTGTTTTTAGAACGCTCTCGCTTTTAATGCGTTTCTTCCTGCCTCACTCAGTGCCAAACAGCTCCAGTAGAGAGGCTGCGTGATTCTCCTTTATTTAGTTTGAAGGTAAGTGGTAGAAAACCTTTTATTTTTACAAATGCAAAGTTACATAATGATCAGCTGCTGTTGCTACTATGTTAGAGTATGTTGTTTATGAATGTGTATGTTGACCTGATTTAGCTGGTTATTAACCCACTTGTTTACAACAGATACAAAAAAATATAAACAGTGAATTGTCAGAAGTAGACATAAAAACCTCTATCTAGCCACATCGTCAAAGCAAAACAGGGCGAGGCACTAGTGAAATGGAAAATGGGCCAAGTTACTATTCAGCATGAGTCACAGGAAGTTAAACAGGGATTTACTGGCAGTCCAGAAGTATGAGCGAGAATGACCAGCATATGGAGACCACAATATTTCATAGCATCAAGTAGCACTTTACCAGTTTGCTTCACTTAAAAGGGTCTTAAAATGTCCATCTGGAAGCTTTTTGTTTATATAGCTGTCCGTTATGTCACTTTCTATCGCAGAATGAGTTAACACAATGGTGGTAGAGTCGATGACCCATATATCTAAACTCTATCTTTCCTAAAAAATGTGTCAACTAAACAGGATAACGGTAATTTGGGGAATTTTTTGACACCGGATCAGTTCCACATTTTGCAGAGAGTAACAGTCTGGAGTAGCCACAGGGATCTGATGAGTTTCAGACTAAAGGCTGCAAACCTCTTTTCAGGGTTTAAACCAACTAGTTTCACTTAGGCTGTTCTCATGCTCATGGCCTGAACAGCATGAAATCACATCCTGGCTGCTCAGAGTCATGGAAAAAGGCCAATTATTGCCTAACTTCTTATTACAACTGTTTGGTTTTTCGGCCCCAATAATCTGAAACCTTAAAGGGGACCTATCATGCAAAATGCACTTTTGTACGTCTTTTATACATGAATATGTGTCCCCGGTGTTCCAGGGAACTCACCAAGTGTCAGAAAACACAACCCTTTCTATTTTCCTCCATACCCAAATCTCTAAAAAAGGGGCTGCAACGGATCTGATAAAAACTGATCCAGATTTGAACACTGTCCTGACGTCAGGACAGTGGCGCTACGGCTATTGGGCCAACTCCACCAATCAGGAGGAGATAGCCACGGCCATTGCCGTTCGAAAGCGCTGGAGACGCTATAGTACATATGCCAGGCCAGTAGATGGTGCTGTTCTCACATAATCAGCCCTTGCAAAAACAGAGCTAGAAATGGTCAAATTGAGCAAAATGAGGCATGGCTAAAATATATGATCTGTTTGGTATTTTGAAAAAAAAAAGTATAAATATGCCTTATATAGGTATGGTCCTACACTATATTATTCAAATATAGCATGATAGGTCCACTTTAAGAATTAAAGAACATTTTTTAGTATTAGCAAATCAACCAGGACTAAAATCTTAAGGAAGGTCTTTTTGAGAACCTGGACAAGTATATCGCAACATTATCAAAAACGACTTTAATGGCCTGCTTCTCTCACTACAAGCACATGTTTCGTCTGGTATATTGCCTCTTTTTACTGTTTTATTTTGCCTGTCAAAGACCAGTAACAAGCCTGCTGCTACATGTCTCCAAAGTCACGCTCAGTTTTTTCCCTAGGGAGGAAAGTGCATTTGTTCAAGTAGTGTATTTTCCTAGCACTTGTTATGTACTTGAGTTTTTGCATTTTTTCAGTCACTTTGACGCCCTTCAACAAAAACTTCAGAGGCATACCACATTAAGTGAATGGTTATTTTACAGATTAAATACATACCTAATAACACACGATGCACAGTAATATATCAAACTAATAATAATAATGAATAAAATAAACAATACGATTATATCTTTACCAAATACAACAGTCAAAGTACTGCTTACTCATACTATTTAATACTTGGAGTATATGATAACATATATCATGTGTATGTAATAATGTCTTTACAATGTTACTTTAACTTCAAGCCATTACCGATGTTTTTATGATAATGTATAAATGAATGTGAAGATAGTCATTGTGGGTGTTCACGGTTGTTCACGGTTGTGTGATTTTGTAAAGAGGATGTGTAACCTGTCGTCAGTGCTATTCTTCTGCAAAGCTAAGTTAGTATGCGGAAGTGAAGCTGTGTTATAATTGAATTCCTCCTGCTGAAAGTGTATCAGTTTAATCAATACATCTGAGTTGAGCTTAATAAACCCAAGTGCTACTGTTTTGCTAGCTTCCTCTTTGCTTACATCTACATAACAATCCCCTTTTTCCTCTGGCTGTAATCCTAACCAAACCTAAAAAAAACGAAGGAAATTAAATTTTGGCTTCTCAAAGGGGTTACGTGATGCAATAAAGGTTAACTGCTTCTGGAGTAAGCTAGTGATTGGGAGCAAAGTGCTACTGGAGGAGGTATTCGGTGGAAGTTGTTGAGGAATTTGATTAGAGGTATACTTAACCTCGCGATCAGCCAAGTGAAGGGGAGGGCGTGAAAAACGGTTATGAAGCCTCAGTATCAACTGGTTCCATATCTTCAATAGTCAGATTACTCAAATCAGTTTAAAGGGCCTTGAAATTAAGTCTGGGCTTCTTGATAAGGTTTGGTAGTTGAAAAATATGGAGTATGTTCTCGTTGGAGAAGCAGAGGCAGAATTACAGTTTAGGATTCCTTAATCTGTATTTCTGTATCTGTATTGACACTGTCCTTTTTAAAGATTGTAACCTTTTTGTTAACATTATATGTAAACTATGCGTGCCATAAGTTGGAGGATGTGCTTCAAGACCTATGAAACAGACATTCAGTAAACTATTTAATTTCCCATTTCCTTTAACCTGTTATAATATTTATAAAAATAAAAATAATAAAATGACAATTTCTAGATACAGTACAACAGTAATCTTAGTGGTACAATGTTAAACCATGCATATCGAAGCATACCCTTCACCAGCTTTTCATCACACATGTAGCTACCACTATGTAATGAAAAGTGTTCACATACTGTTTGTGCTGTACTGTGTTTCGTGGCAGCAATACAATGCATTTTACGTTTATAACTACCTTTAAGACTTAGAGCCTTTTGATTAACCAACAAAAATACCCTTTTCTCATCCGCAGTACATTTTTTGAAGATGGAAAAAGAATACCCACCACAGCAACAAGCTCCACCTTACCCTGGGCCGCCTATGAACTATGGCGGTGCAATGCCACAGCCAGGGCCGAACGCTCAGCCGGGCTACTACCCCGCAGCACCCCCACCCATGCAGGGAGGTTTGTGTCTGCCCTACTGCTTTCAAAGATGATAATCTTTTTAATGTCCTTTTAACCTTGCCCAGGATTATGAGACCAACAACACAATTTAAAGGGGCCCTATTATGGGTTTGGGGGGTTTCCCTTTCCCTCCAGTGCAGCTATAGGTTTTTGTGGTGGTGGTCTGCAAAGGCTAAAATCCCAAACTTCCCTTTCTCCCCCCCCCCTGCCTGGAAAACGTCTCAATTTGACTCGTTAGTTCTCTTCCGAAATAAGCAATCAATCAATCAATCAATCGATCAAAGGTTTATTTATATAGCCCAATTTCACAAATGAACATTTGTCTCGGGGGGGCTTTACAGAACATAGTGACATCACCATGTAACACTCTGGCTTCTATTGGCTAGCGCTCCTTCACATTATACGTGACAGGCTTAGGGGCGGGACATCTCTAAGCTATTGACCAATCACAACAGAGCCGGCCAGCTAACCAATCAGAGCAGACTCTGGTTTCAGACAGAGGGTGAAAAGAGGTTCTGCAGAGAAAAATAAAGCACTTTTTCAACATTAAAACATGTAATCATGTCACAGAACAGGCAACATCTGCTCTTGCTCTGACACAAGCACACTGTCAAACATTCCTCATACACTTTCAGATTGAAGGCTTGCAGTGCTGCCTCTGTGCTGTAAACACTGTATAATATAAATAAACGGTGCATTATTAAAGATCAACAGTCAGTTGAAGTTGCACGACACAGTGAAAGACCTTTCTTTAGGGAATACCCTTTTGTTATGACGACATGCAAGTATGACTACAATGTAGCATAAAAGAGCCCCTTTAACATCTTTCCTTTGTCAGAAAATGTGTGTATACTAATGTCTTGCTTTGTAAAGCCTTAACAGAACATTTTATATACTTAAACACCAAAAAAGCAAAACGTGATTTATACAATAATAGATCAAAATCCCCAAAATATTAATAAATTAGATTACTACTATTGCACTTGTATGCGCTTTATGCTATGAATATAATAATACAGTACTTTGGTAAAGGTGATTTAAAGAAATATCTGCTCTGATCTGACTTTCCTGATTTGATAAATGTTGTTTCATCTGCCAGATGCTCCAGCCACTGCTGTTCCTGCCACAACAGGTGAGACCAAGCACAATCTGTCCTATGTGAAACACAATACACATACAGATAGTGAACATGTTTCTGTTCCAGCTTGTGGAGTTAGAACTGCCCCTGCACAGAGCCTCAGAGTCAGTGGGTGAAGTCCTCAGTTTCCTACCAAAGTTATCCGAAGAATAGTTCATTTGTTTCGGATGTGCATAACAAAAAGCTATTGTCCACTGTCTCTTTTTGTGGCTTGCAGTCACATTTTGAGTATTTCTTGTTGCAACAGATGTTAGCTATTCCAGTTAAAGAACTTCTTTAGGTTAGCTCCAAATATAAATACATATAACAACATAATAAGGTGACAGTGGGCTTGTTTAATGAAGGATGGGTCAGATTAACACACATTTAGATATTTTTCATGTTACTGTCTCTTAGTTTCCTTCGACACCTTGAGTCAAATCTGAGCTTTCCAGTACTCTAAATATCTATAATGTATTACTATAAATACCCTCAATGGTTGGGTGGCTCACTGACAGCAACTCCTTACCAAAATACAGATGGTGTTCTATTAGCAGCCTCTGCTGGTCATGTTGATTCAGTGCATTCAGTAAATTGTATTCTCGAATCTTTGAATGAATGCCCAAAAATGGAAATTCTACAGAAACAAAAGATACATCCGCCTAGCTGGCTGGAACATGGATTACGAAATGATGTGTTAAAAAAATGAAATAGGTAACTCTTAAAATATATTCAGTTTATTGCTTCTGGTTTTCAATGATCAAATGTTGCTGTGAGAAATGGGGCATTGTACTCATTTTAAGCAATTTGTGCATTTGTCATCCTCAGTGACTCACGTGATTGTAGGACATGTACTACATGACGTCCCAGGACAAACTGTCTGTCCCCACTGCCAGCAGTCAGTGATCACCAGTACAGAGCGCACAGCAGGCCTAATGACCTGGGCTATCTGTGCTGGCCTCGGCCTCTTTGGGTAAAAACAACAATATTTTCTTGTAGTGTCTGTTTTATGGGGGGAAAATGTTTCTGAAACACACCAGAAGATCCTCCTTTAAAGGTCACCTATTATGCAAAATCCACTTTTTCGTGTCTTTTATACATAAACATGTGTCCCCTCTGTGTAAAGAGATTCTGAAATGTTCAGGAAAAAAGATTCACCCACTTTTTGTCCTGATCCATTTATATAAAAACCTGTCTGAAAATGAGCTGATCAGATTTTGGCCACTTTATGTCATAACGTTTTTTGGTTTGTGTAACCATTAGCCAATCAGCAACCAAGGTAACCCCCCCCCCCACCTTATCACCTGAATCTCCTCCTAGAGCACCACTGTGGTGACCAAATATCTCTCAGAGGGGCGTTGGGAGTGGCTCCTTATTTTCATCTAAGTAACAGACAGAGAATCAGCACTTTTGAAACAGGGCTGAAACAGAGGGGATTATGGGATGCTGCAATGAACTGTTTGGTATTTCGAGCCAAACACTTCAGAGACATGTTTTGCATATATCTGAGACCTATAATATATTGATGAAAAACAGTATAATAGGGGACCTTTAAGAACTGTTGTTAATTGTAGAGTTACTGTACAATTGACGTTGTTTCCTCCTACAGGTGTTTTCTTTGCTGTTGTATACCATTCTGCGTTGATTCCTGTCAAGATGTGGAGCACCGTTGTCCTTCCTGCCAAAGAGTCATCTACGTTTACAAGCGAATGTGAAACCAACTGTGATTAAGGAAGAAGACCTACATTCTTATCTGCAGCTTTACTTGCTCTTTGATTATTTTTACACTGATCAAAATTATACCCTAAAATACATTTATCCTATTGCTGACATTGTCATAGTCATTTTGCTACTTTTTCACAATTCAATGCTAATGACATAAGCCTCACACTGCAGGGAGTCATATTAAGCAGTGAGTGGTGAACTTGTAATTCAATAAAAAACTGATGCCATTATTATATTATTTCATAATACAAACACAAACAATTATGTTGATGAAAGATATACAAAATAACTGTGTCTTCTATAGTTATGAGTCTCTGTAAAACCAAGACAACAAGATTAACCACTGATAAGAGAAAACAGATGTTGTAATTTTTATTAGCAGTTTTAATTTTGTATTCACCAATAGTTCTTACACATGTGGTCGACACGGATATACTCACAAAAGAAACAGTAAAGATAACAAAGCATAAAAGGGTACACATTTGTGAGTGTAGAGAGGGTAGAATCTGTTTGGATAATTGTCCTGCAGTCTTTGCAGGATGGTTTGTTGAAATACATGTAATTCTTATTCTATTGTTGTTTTATTTTGGCATTGCCTCAGAGAAATCATGTTTTGTTAAATTCTTCAAGGTAATTTTTTTGGAAGGCTGTTGTTCCTTTGACATGTGTGCCATTGTGGTTTGCTGATCTTTTTTCAACGTTTATCTATCCAACTAATCCTCTAATAACTCCAAATATGAATAGCCGAGTATTGATTTCTAATCTGCTGTTCCTAGACCTGCTCTTATTAGAGAAGCACTGAGCGGTAAAACACCACAGCAACACTGATCGACATTATAATGTAAAATACACTTATCATGCTGAAATTGTCCTGGTTATTTTTGCTTTTTCACATTTGAATGCTAATGACATATGCCTCACACTTTGGGGATTCATAATATGCAGTGAGTGGTGAATTAGTTAAATAAAAAGCTGTTATATGAACATATTTTATATTATATTTGTATACACAAACAATCCTTTTGATGAAAGAAATACAAATAACTGTCTCTGTATATCGTGAATCACTGTAAAATCAAGACTACCATATTTTACTATTTAGTAAGGTAAACATTTTTAAAAGTATAGTTGCTTTTCTGTTTACTGCTTTAAGAAAGAAAAACAATCTAAACAAAGGTCCACAAACTAATCACGTTGTGGATCTTTTATCTAAGCAACCAGGAACGTTAGAATATAACATAATGCAAAGACGGAAACATGGTCATTGAAGTTAAAGATGATAATGTTGTAAAACGGTATGAGAGACAGAAAATGTACGACAAGTCAGTCTCGGGCATTTGTCTGAAGACTGAGTGTAAATAACCCAATTTGTGTTCTTTGAACCTGAAAAGGATATTGCATTGTTTTTGTTACTTTCATTGCTATTACATGTTTTAATCGTAATTTAAATCAACTTCCTGTTTTTTTTAGACATGCTTTTATTTTGAAAGCGACTTTGAGCTATTAATAGGAAGTTACTGTTCCCCAAAGAAAAACTTGACGGAGATGAACCAAGCCCCCAGGAAGTGCGCCGGACTCAGATGAAAATATTCGTGCTGGCCAAACGGCGGTACTACACTTCCTTTTGGTTGCCAGGCCCGGAAACACTTTTTCCCATTGACTTACATGGGGAAAGAGTGGTCTGTAAATCGTTGGATAATTTTTTTTAAACTAAATAAACTACCCAGTATGAACACTTAATAGCCCTTATTAAAAACATTCGTTCCTCAAGTTGTAAAAATGTGCTAATAACGTTATTCTGTGAGTTATTTCCATTATGAACGCGCATCTAACCCACGGGACCGCGCCGCCCGGCACGTTCATGTTACGTGTTCAGCACTACATGCGTTTATCTTTACCCATGGATGCACAATAAGAACGGACCCATATCGCCTTACTGCCAGCCCACGGAGCTGTAATAATGGATATATTGCACATGTTTGCTGTAATTCATCATTTGTAAAATATTATACTACATGGGCTGTATGATTAAATCTTGTACCGTAAATGTTGTATTAAATAAAGTTAATATTACCGACGTAGATTAACGACCCTGTAGCTTCTTATTGCACTAAGAATCTTATTGCACTTTATATATATATATATATATATATATACATATACATATATATACATATATATATATATATATATATATATATATACAGTGCAATAATTCTTTCATGCTAAATGAAGCTCTGTTGCTTGGATATCACTAGATCCTGTTACAGCGTAATATAAAAGTACATAACGATTGATGTGTAAATTAGCATAATTACTAGCTAACCGCTAGCTGCTAACTGCCGCCTCGTTAATATCAAATCTATCATAACAAATCATTACCATGCTGTCATGAACGTGCGGTGCTGTTACGTGTACGCAAATTGACGTGCTTGATGTGAACGAGCATTTTGGGGGGCATGGTTAAAGTTGCGCATGCGCTATGAGCGCACATACGGGTACTTCTCAGGCATGCCGGGTATCTGTGACGTTTCGCTCTCTCAAAAGTTGGGCCATTTTATCCAAGCCCCCAGGAAGTGCGCCGGACTCTGATGAAAATATTCGTGCTGGCCAAACGGCGGTACTACACTTCCTTTTGGTTGCCAGGCCCGGAAACACTTTTTCCCATTGACTTACATGGGGAAAGAGTGGTCTGTAACTCGTTGGATAATTTTTTTTAAACTAAATAAACTACCCAGTATGAACACTTGTATAGCCCTTATTAAAAACATTCGTTCCTCAAGTTGTAAAAATGTGCTAATAACGTTATTCTGAGAGTTATTTCCCTCTGTATTATGAACGCGCATCTAACCCACGGGACCGCGCCGCCCGGCACGTTCATGTGATGTGACGTGTTCAGCACCACATGAGTTTATCTTTACCCATGGATAAGAACGGACCCATATCGCCTTACTGCCAGCCCACGGAGCTGTAATAATGGATATATTGCACATGTTTGCTGTAATTCATCATTTGTAAAATATTATACTACATGGGCTGTATGATGTAAATCTTGTATTAAATAAAGTTAATATTACCGACGTAGATTAACGTCCCTGTAGCTTCTTATTGCACTTGCAATATACCATTAAAGGAGTTGAACGTTGCTGTTTGCTATTACTATAATACCACGCAGGGATAAACCAGAGTTTACAACCTTTGCATGTGGGCACAACACGTTTTGACCCAGATTAATTAGCTATACCATGATATCGCCCGAGGAAGTCGTCATACTTATACATATATAAATAAAGATATATGTGTCAAAGCTCTAATCAAATTAACAGTTGTATTAATTATACTTGTATATGTATATATATATATATATATATATATATATATATATATATATATATAGCCTGTGTTTTATATTTATACACACAAATGAACAACCTTGTGTGTGTCAAATAACAAGTTGTATTGTAGTGTTTATTTTAGTGTTGTGTTATGCTTATCCACATTTTGATTTCAGAGCACAGGAGAATGCTGGGCACAACATAAAGCTCAAAAGTGAAGCTGGCAATGCTGAACAAAACCATCTAGTTATAATATTTATTCAGCTGAAAAAGTCAAAGCTCTACGAAAATGTAATTAAAAATACATAAGCATTTTCAGGTAGAAAATCAGCATTTTATATAGAAATTCACAAAAATAAGAAATGTATACCTCTTATGGCTGGCATTGTAGAACTAGGTGGAAAAAATAGTGACAACAAATGTAAATACAATTTATATAGATCAAAAGGTAATATATATAATATTGATTGCAATTATTAGATTAAAAGATCCACCAATTATGATCAACAGGAAAGCCCTCTGAAGGCATGTTGTGGTTTGAAAAAAAGTTGAGGATGGGGTCCAGACAGTTAAATCAGGAGAGACTTCATTTTGTTTAAAGAACATTTATTGACACATGTCATATGATAAATGTTAAGTCTTTGGCGATTAGACCCCGATCCTGAAATCTTATATCTAAAGGGGGAAATGCAGCCGTGAGCATATAGGGAACCTCCCCGGGGTCTAGACACTGGTGATGATGATGAAGATCTGGATTTGATGAGGAGATGGGATGAAGAGGAGGTGTGATGAGGTCTTTGGATTAGCTCTCCTGGCTCTGGATATGATGAACGGAGGTGGGTGGAGAAGAGGTGGATGGGGAGGAGGTGGATGGGGAGGAGGCGGGCGGCAGCATGAACACCTGAAATCACAGCTGACTGCAGGAGAGAGGAGAACCATTTTAAAGTTTGGCTGCAGCTCGGTGATTGGCTGCTGGAGAATGAGGTGAATGTAATAGGTTAAAGAGAACGCCTGTGATGAGCTGATTATAAGCAGCTGCGGAGTGAATGTATACATACCCAGTCTTCCTGAAAGAACTTGCGCTGAGCTTCATTTAGTGAGTCAGACTCATGGTCAGAATGCTGGTTGGGAGGCTCAGTTCTTCCTGTTGACAGAAGATGGCACTTTTCTGAGAGGGAGCCAGCCGGCAGACACTGGACAGTGGCACACCAACAGATGAAACAGGAATCCATCTGAGAGGCTATGCGGAAAAGGATAACAAATAATGTCAGCAAGACATGAACATATATAACCACTATCATTCAATTCTGTAATTGCAGGTTTGTTAGCATGATATTTCAAACATAAATGGCCTGTCTTAGTTTAAAGCCCACTCACCACGTCAAGGTGCAGGCCACGAGTGAGGACACAACAACGATCACAAACAGTACATACACACGAGACAAAACTTACATACATATAAATAACTTACATATACAATGAACAATGATAAAGATTTAAATCACAATTGATCATAACTCAAAATACATATATTTTTATATATTACCAAGTGGTTTCATGTAGGCTACAACCCACACAAGTATCATGCTAAATTAAGCTCTGTTGCTTGGATATCACTAGATCCTGTTACATCAGCGTAATATAAAAGTACATAACGACTGATGTGTAAATTAGCATAATTACTAGCTAGCCGCTAGCTGCTAACTGCCGCCTCGTCGTTAATATCAAATCCATCATAACAACCCATTACCATGCTGTCATGAACGCGCGGTGCTGTTACGTGTACGCAAATTGACGTGCTTGATGTGAACGAGCATATTGGGGGGCATGTTTAAAGTTGCGCATGCGCTATGAGCGCACATACGGGTACTTCTCAGGCATGCCGGGTAATCTGTGACGTTTCGCTCTCTCAAAAGTTGGGCCATTTTGTCATCATGCGCGATTGAGCAACTCTCATAGGAATGAATGAGGCCCCGCCTCCCACGCTGTATCCAGTTCTTATTATACATCCATGATTTTATCATCATGCGCGAATGAGCAACTCTCATAGGAATGATTGAGGCCCCGCCTCCCACGCTGTATCCAGTTCTTATTATACATCCATGAGATGAACGGAGATAAAGTACACACATTAACGGAGATATCTACATTTAAATACGGCAAAATCAAAAGAAAAAGTTTACATTAAAGTATTAGCACCCCCCGAAGAGGCACAAGGTTAGTATTAACTATAATATAAAAAGGTGGGTTGTATCCTAATTCGTTTAGCCTTTAGGCCTATAGGGTCAGTGTATGTTTTGGTCAAATTGAAATACAAGGCGTTTTTCTTTATCATGGTCAAAAAGGGATTTACTAAACTTAAAAAACGGGATGATTTTCATTTTCTACTTCTCAAAACAAAAAATAAAAACTACCGTTTTTTTTCATATTCTGCGACCGGAAGTTACCTTACAAAATAAGAGCGCAGATGAGGTCAGAATCCGTGTATCTACGGTCCATTTGTTTTTCTTTATTAAACAAGTAAACGGAAGAGCGTCTGCGAGGCGTTTTTGCTTTTTGCTTTTTACCTTACTAAAATAATGGTCCTTGGAGCGAGGGGCGGGGCGAAACTCACGGAAGTGATTTCAAAACAAAAGCACTCGTATGCTAAAATCACACTTTGAATCACTACAGTATCCTATT